TTCCTTGTGATTTTCCTCACTAAAGGACAAGCCACCAGCCATGAAAATCAAAGACCAAATCCCTGATTTCATTCCATTAAGAAAACATAAACAAATGGATATTATTCTTGTGATTTGTGAGTGGATGTTTCAGGGAAGTTTCCCCCCTATGTGTGTGTATTTATTTCGGCCTTAGGCCCTTTTGTGAGACTCATATTGTAATTCCATTTTCCATTTAGTAATACACTTGTTGTGTTTGCTATTTAAATTCCTAAATCTATATCTTAAGAGTGGTTATCTTAAGTGTGAGTTTTAGGTTCTAGATATTTAATTAAGTGTGTTATATCTTAATTAAGTTCTAGACTTAACCCCAAGTTAAGATAAGAGTGTGTAATATCTCTTAAACACCAACTTGGTTTATCCCTTCATTTTACCTCTTCCCATTTCATATCTCTCCATTTCTTCTTCTTGAACTTATTCTTTTCTTTCATCAAAAACCCAAAAAAACAACTCTTTGTTCCACCCCCATATTTTGTCTCCCTCATTTCCTCTTCACCATCCCATAATTCCATCTTCAAATAGCGACTTGATTATACCCCGGGTCTCGGGTATAACAATTTTGTGCAGACGTCTAGCTTCTTTGAGTTTTCATCTGCAGAAAAAGAAACTCTAGGTGAAAGCAATTTCATGCCATGTAGTCTTATTTTTGGTTTGGCAAAAAAGATAAAGTCCGGGACAGTGAAGAGAACTACAACATGTTTTGGATAATAAAAAACTCAGGTAAGTGAATACCTACCTTCTCCATTATTGGTCAAGGAAGTTTCTTTGCGCGCTATGTGAACAAAACAAAGCCCAAAAACAAAAGACCAAAAAACAAGAAGAGTAAAAATTAAGTTGTACTACAAACTATATATAGGGCATATTTTATTTATTCTTTGCTACTCCGTTTTTAATTCGATAGAGATGTTTTTGAGATGGGTTTGTTGATGGATCTAACCTTATGGATTTTAACATTGTGGAGGGTCACAATTTGGTAGCTAGAGAACACTGATGCATTGTTTTGGATATTATAGTTTATAGCTATACTTAATACTTCGTGTATTGAAGACTAATCTGTTTGCAAGTGTTTTAGGCAATGGGAATAACAAGTGACTACTGGCATGGAAGGAACCTTTCAAAATGATGATGGCTACCTGAGGCAGAACGACCTTCCTATTCCCATGGAAGGAAGTGATGTTGTCCTTGGAATTATCTTATGCTACCTAAGAATAGAATTTCATTCTGGACTTGAAACAAACGTAGAGTAGCTTTGTGTTTTGATTGGGGGTCTTGAAAGTGTATCCAAGAAAAGGATGCTTAAAACTACATATTTTGTTACGGCTGGAACTTTGTTCCACGTCCAGGATAAGCAACAACCTTGGTATTCTAAAGACAATATATGGTTGGGCACTCATTTGGTTCCTTTGTTGTTGGCAGTTTTAGATTAAGATTTCGATTCATTTGTTGGTATTTTTCAGAGTTCTTTATTTTTTGTGTTTTTGGCTTTGCTTTGGTCATTTCATACGTAGTATTTATTTCCTTTTTAACAAAAAAAATTCAATTTTTTTAATAGAAAAGTTCACTACCATGTATTCAGTATTTTATTCTCCATTTTTAATGTTTCTTATTTATTTATTATTTATACCTAAAATCTATCATACTTAGTACTCCGTAGAAAAATTTAACTTTAAAGGTATATACGAGGTTTAAAAACTAGTACACGGTATATTGTACACCTCAGATACTCCGTATATTGTTTTACACCCGCTTCTGCTTGCTCTTCGGCTAGGCTAAGAACTTTACATCGCACTGCCGTTGGCGTGGCCTGTTTCAAATTTCAATACGATCACCGAACGCCTCTTTCACCGAGTTCCTATTTGCTTGGTCTCTTCGCCGATCAGGTACCGCTTTTGATTCTTCTTCTTTTTCGTTTCCCTGCTTATTTGAAATCTGGTTCTTTGAAATCTTTTTCGTTTCCCTGCTTCTGATTCCGTTAATCCCCATTGCCCCTGAGTATTGTCTGGTTCTTTGAAATCTTTTTCGATTTGGCTTCTTGAACTTGAATTTCACGTTATTTCTTGAATTTTCTTTACCCTAATAATCTGAAATCTGAAATTAGAACATCCAAATTTGAGGGACAGGGGTGAAGTTTCTAACCTTGAAGTATTTCAGGAAGGTTCAAATTATTTGGATGGATTAAGTGATTTTTCAATTCACCAATTTTTCACAGCTCATTTTTCCACCCTACCTGCAGAACTTGTCTCTGGCGTAGGGAGTGGTGTGTATGAAGGTTCTTTAGAAATGTTCCCTTTTTTTATTAAAAATTTATTTCCCTTAATTTCCAATTTGGTTGTTTGAGGTCTTTTCACAGTTTATTAGTTTAGCCCATGAGTTTCATAAACTGCCCTTGATTTGATTCATTGCACCCAACAAGAGAGCCCCCAAATTATCATGTACACGAGTGCATTTAACAGAATTTTTGGGAAGGTTAAGAAGTTAAATTCT